TGTCACTTACATGTTACTGCGACTTGCACCTTTCTACTGAACGTTACTTTGTTGGCAGTGGCGTCGTTGACAAAACATTGGTAACTTCCACTATTCTCAGCTTCCAGGTAACTTCCAGTTAATGAACCATCGGCACCAAGTGTGAACTTGGCACTTGGAAAAGTAATTTCAGTTCCATTATACTTCCAACTCCACTTTAGTGGGTTTTCACCCTGTGCATCACATGGGAGTCTGAAGCCCCAGTTCTTAGAAGCATCAAACTTTTTGCCAGACTTAACTTCTTCTGGCTTTATCAAATCCCGATCCAAGAAATCTACAATTCTAGGAGGGGCAGGTTGTTGCTGTGAAACACCTTGACCTGGAAAAATAAAAACACCCAAAATTAGTTCACAAAGATGTGATTTAAGACCAAAAAAGTTATCTTCTTCAAGTACCATTCGTGACCAGACACAGGACTTCATACACTAACACTTTACCATTAAACGAAACAATCCGTTTACTATCTGTTTGTTATCCGTTTAAAACGGATCATCAAAGCGTTTAAACACTTTGCTCATCTGTTTAACATTATCAACAAAACGTTTAAACGGTTAATCTATTCGTTTAAAAAAAATCCTTCCATTTAACAGTTGGCCTATCTGTTTAACGGTTACTTGCATCCGTTTAACGTTTTTGAAGAGCAACAGTATAAAACAGTCTCAAGAAGCATCATTGAAAATCAATTGCACTTCGATCGAGCGGCTATGTTGGTCTTCGCTTCAACTTGCCGTTTGCAACTCTCTGGTATTAGAAGGTCTTCGATTAGAAGAATTCTCAATAGAGATATTGAGACATGAGAGCTCGCATTACCTCACGAAAACAGATGTTCGTTAATTAACACAAGGAGAGTGAGATTTGTTTTCATGATTATGCAAATTTATTTCGATGGACGTGTACGGCAAAATTTACCAAATTGGTGGCTATCGGGTTTCTCATCTTTTATTTCCATTGATTGAAAGGAAACAGAAATTGCTTTGTAAAAGCTACAATTACACATTACTTTACGAAATCGAACACTAGATGAAACATGAGCGAAAGAAAGTTGCATATGCAAAATTGTTTCGACAGTGAAATCTACAAACTCAGCCGCTATTTTTACCTACCGTATTTATTCATCTATAGCTGAGTGATTTTTTTCACAAAACTTTACCAAAATCTCCAAAATTTGAGCCAGAGAATGGTTCTCAGCTTATAGCTGAGTGTTTTTCTAAACATAATTTTTTTGAAACAGCAAATTCAAAGGAAACATAGATATATTCGTGTATAAGCCGAGATATTGCATGCAGAAGTAAATAACAAAACAAGCTGAAGTTGGTCATTGACTTTAAAAGTATGTGGTTGCTTCCAACGGAGTGGTTTGTTGTTTTCGGAGCATAGTAAAAGTAGCCAACTGTTCGTCCTCAGCATCGGTGTGGAATTCGTCGTCCATCTCCTCATCTGCTAGTTCTGCCGTTTATTCGGAGTAGATTGCTTCATCTGCCATGCTGTCTAGAGTATCAGAGATTTTGCAGGTTTTGAACAAGTGTATACACCAAATGCAAATATGGCGTCCAATTTGAACTGCCATTCTTCTGGACTGACTAGCCTCATCTTCACGTGGAAACACAAAAGGATTATTACATGTGTGAGAGGCTAGTCAGTCCAGAAAAATGGCAATTCAAATTGGATGCCATATTTGCATTCGGTGTATAGAGCTTGCGAAAGTGTTTTAAAAATTTCGAAACTGACCAATCAGAATTGCCCATTCCCACAATTGGTAAACAAACTCGTCNGCGGTGAGTAGTGGGTTGTCACCCTGCGCATCACATGGGAGTCTGAAGCCCCAGTTCTTAGAAGCATCAAACTTTTTGCCAGACTTAACTTCTTCTGGCTTTATCAAATTCCCATCCAAGAAATCTACAATTCTAGGAGGGGCAGATTGTGGCTGTGAAACACCTTGACCTGGAAAAATAAAAACACCCAAAATTAGTTCACAAAGATGTGATTTAAGAATAAAAAAGTTATCTTCATCAATTAACATTTGTGACCAGGCACAGGATTTCATACACTAACGCTTTACCGTTAAACGAAACAATCCGTTTACTATCTGTTTGTTATCCGCTTAAAATGGATCATCAAAGCGTTTAAACACTTTGCTCATCCGTTTAACACTATCCACAAAACGTTTAAACGGTTAATCTATCCGTTTAAAAAAAAATCCTTCAATTTAACAGTTGGCCTATCTGTTTAACGCTTACTTGCATCCGTTTAACGTTTTTGAAGAGCAACATGCAGTTTAAAACGGTCCCAAGAAGCATCGTTGAAAATCAATCGCGCTTCGATTAAGCGGCTATGTTGGTCTTTGCTTCAACTTGCCGTTTGCAACTCTCTGGTAGTAAAAGGTCTTCGATTAGAAGAATTTTCAATAGAGATATTGAGACATGAGAGCTCGCATTACCTCACGAAAACAGATGTTCATTAATTAACACAAGGAGAGCGAGATTTGTTTTCATGATTATGCAAATTTATTTCGATAGACGTGTGCGGAAAAATTTACCGAATTGGTGGCTATCGGGTTTCTCATCTTTTATTTCCATTGATTGAAAGGAAACAGAAATTGCTTTATAAAAGCTATAATTACACATTACTTTACGAAATCGAACACTAGATGAAACATGAGCGAAAGAAAGTTGCATATGCAAAATTGTTTCGACGGTGAAATCTACAAATTCAGCGGCTATTTTTACCTACCGTATTTAGTTATCTATAACCGAGCCATTTTTTCACAAAACTTTACCGAAATCTCGAACATTTGAGCTAGAGAATGGTTCTCAGCTTATAGCTGAGTGTTTTTCTAAACATAATTTTTTCGAAACAGCAAATTCAAAGGAAACATAGATATATTCGTGTATAAGCCGAGATATTGCATGCAGAAGTAAATAACAAAACAAGTTGAAGTTTGGTCATCGACTTTAAAAATATGTGATTGCTTCCAACAGAGTGGTTTGTTGTTTTCGGAGCATAGTAAAAGTGGCTAACTGTTCGTCCTCAGCGTCGGTGTGGAATTTGTCGTCCATCTCCTCCTCATCTGCTAGTTCTGCCGTTTATTCGGAGCAGATTGCTTCATCTTCCATGCTGTCTTGAGTATGAGAGAATTTGCAGGTTTTGAACGAGTGTATACACCAAATGCAAATATGACCTCCAATTTGAATTGCCATTGTTCTAGACTGACTAGCCTCATCTTCACGTGGAAACACAAAAGGATATTACGTGTGTGAGAGGCTAGTCAGTCCAGAACAATGGCAATTCAAATTGGATGCCATATTTGCATTCGGTGTAAAGAACTTGCGGACGTGTTTTAAAAATTTCGAAACTGACCAATCAGAATTGCCCATTCCCACAATTGGTAAACAAACTTGTCGCGATCGATCGTCACCTGCTACGGTGTTAAAATTTGCGATCATATATAGAGAAAACTTATCTTGGCTTCCCTGCTCTGTAAACCAATCAAGTAATCTCTCATCCAGCCACAGATATTTCGTTGCACATTTCACTGACATCTCGAGCTCTCCATTAAAGAGGTTCTCTTGATATTTCCTCTAGGACTCACTGATGACTTAGGCCTAGTTTAAACGTCGCGCTACAGTCAAATTTAATTCAGACGAATTTAATTCCATTAAATGCGTCGTTCCATCGACATAAATCGTGGCGTGGTTTTACACGTCAAAATCAATACAGTCGAATTTAATTCTCTTCCCAAATGCAGTGTCTCTGGTCAGAGGTCACTCGAAAAGCTCGCCCCGGGTCCCTGCGGGCTTGCCCCGGGTCGCTGCGGGCTCGCCACGGGACGCTGCGGGCTCGCCCCGGGTTGCTGCGGGCTCGCCACGGGACGCTGCGGGCTCGCCCCGGGTCGCTGCGGGCTCGCTACAGGACGATGCAGGCTTGCCAAAATAAATTAAGAAAATGTATGCATTTCATTCGACGCGACACTAGTGCAACGTTAAAACTGAAGACCCGTTATCGATATTTTATCTGTCTCACCAAGACAAATTTAATTTGTTTTAGACGTCGCGCTATCGTCGAATTTAATTGCTTGTGGGACCTTGAATTAAATTCATCTGTAGCATGACGTATAAACTAGGCCTTACTCTCTGGTTTACTCGGAATGTATTTTCGACATCAATACTGCATTAAAACTCTTTTCTGTTTTGAAATTTTTGCATTCATTTCAGTTTGCTTGAGAATGGAATTCTTTGAAAGTGGTCTCGGCTTATAGCTGAGTATTTTCAATTTACATATTTTAAGAACCTTCCTGATTAAAACAGACCGAAGTTTAGGGTCTTGGCTTATAGCCCAGATCGGCCTATAGACAAATAAATACGGTACATTATAATCCATTACTTAACATTTTTCACTTGATAGTGCGATTTCATTCGCTAATTTGTTTTTCTGTCGAGAATGTTCAGTCCACATGGTATGATTGACAAATTGCTTGCTCTGCTTATATTTTATGCAAATTTTCAAACGCATTGCTAGCTCTCCAGAGTGAGACACTCTCGGTTCGCTTCACTCACCAGTGGATAGCTTAATTGCAGGCTAGTATTTTAATTTTACATTGTTTTCTATTAGTGTCAGTGAAAAATAATATTAGCATGAAACATCAGTCGCAAGAACAATTTGTACAATTGTTCGCAACGGTTTCTGATCGATATGTGCATGGCTTCCTGCTGTTCTTTAGCCCTCCTGATCATGATCAGTTCAAGGTTTTTGTCCATCCGTTTAACGTTTTAAACTCTCCATTAATAGTTTCTGTTTAACCGTTTAACGTTTTAAGCTATCCCTTTATTTTTTCTCGGCCGTTTAATGGTTTATGGAATCTGTTTTTGGACTTAGCTCTACCGTTTAACGCTTTGGACTATCTGTTTAAATGGATATGCAAACCGTTAAAACGCTCTTACTACCGGTTTACTATCTGTTTACAAACCATTTATTTTCACCAGTTTAACGAAAAAGCGTTAGTGTACGAAATCCTGTGCTCGGTCACATTTTTAAAGCTACTGCAAATAGCTTCCTTTTTTCTGTGTTGCCTTACAAAAAAAATCCTTGACATCCTGGTATTGTATATACAGTAAGTAAGAGCAACCATGCCGTAAGAGCTAGCTGAACCTAATTCAATAGTAAAACTGTACAATCAAAATTCTGATTATCTGAACCTTGATTATCTGAGTTTTTTGATTAACCAGACTTGCTTCTTTGAAACTTTTTTTCGTTAAAGAACATCGCTTGGTAACGTTCAATACTCATGAAAACTTTTTCCTATCAAAGTACATGTAATGAAACACAAATCTGCACATTGTCAAGTTTAATGCACTGTAAGTATACAATGTACTTAAAGCTAGCACTTTACACAAAGTGATTTGAGAATGTTCCTTCATTCTTGCTTAATATTGATTAAATGATACATATATTATTAGCTTTCAGTTTTAAAAGACCTGTAGCTCACTAATATTCATATTTTTTCATTATCTAGAGACTAAATTAACCACACTTCCCAGCCCTGACCCTCCAAGGTTTGACTGCACCCATTCATTCTCCTGCACCCACTGCATCCAACCATTCTACTGCACCCAACCATTCCAATGCACCCAACCATTCTAGACACCCATCCATTCTACTGCATCCAACCATTCTACTGCACCCAACCATTCTAGACACCCAACCATTCTACTGCACCCAACCATTCTACGGCACCCAACCATTCTACGGCACCCAACCATTCTACGGCACCCAACCATTCTACGGCACCCAACCATTCTACGGCACCCAACCATTCTACGGCACCCAACCATTCTACGGCACCCAACCATTCTACGGCACCCAACCATTCTACGGCACCCAACCATTCTACGGCACCCAACCATTCTACGGCACCCAACCATTCTACGGCACCCAACCATTCTACGGCACCCAACCATTCTACGGCACCCAACCATTCTACGGCACCCAACCATTCTACGGCACCCAACCATTCTACGGCACCCAACCATTCTACGGCACCCAACCATTCTACGGCACCCAACGATTCTACGGCACCCAACCATTCTACGGCACCCAACCATTCTACGGCACCCAACGATTCTACGGCACCCAACCATTCTACGGCACCCAACCATTCTACGGCACCCAACGATTCTACGGCACCCAACCATTCTACGGCACCCAACCATTCTACGGCACCCAACCATTCTACGGCACCCAACCATTCTACGGCACCCAACCATTCTACGGCACCCAAC